CGATTTAGTCTGAAGCAAATTAAATTCTCTAAATGTGAAGTATTGTATATCCACATTAACAATTATATACCACAAAGAATAAAAAAACACTTCCATAAATGAGAAACTGCGTCTACAGACCTGAAAGATATATCAGTATGCAGGTAAATAAGCACTACAACAGACAAGCGTTGAGGCCTTTTCGAGATAATTGCACAATAAAAGTACATCAATGCTTTTTCCATTTCTATTTGTGCCTCACTCACTCTTTTAGCGGATGAAAACTACTCAAGGCAAACAATATCATTTACCAAAGATGAAAGTGGACCCCTACAAAAACGATGGGCATCCCTGCTGTTGGAATGATCTAAGACCAAACCGTGACCTTTAGCACAGCTAATGATCTCCAGTCCACTGAAGATACTGAGGGGGTCCTTTGCAGTGCAAATGTTACGTGGGCTCCTCTCTTTAATTTCTCTCCATATCTTTCAAGTGGATCTGTGAAAGGCTAAGCACTGTGGGCACGGCTGGCAGCACCCAGGCGCAGGCGAGCGGATGGGTTCTGCCTGCCTGGGGATGCGTTGAGAGGGGATAAAGGGATAAAGAGCCTCTGCTCTGGGACTGATTACTTACATCTGCCCTGTTAAATCCTTGCATGCATACCCACAGCTACTACTGTTTGCTTTGTCTACTGTTTGCGAGTATCGTGTCAGTTTGTGTGTGTACAAACAGGTTTGGCGATACTTGCGAGGGCCAAATGTTTGAAGAGAATGCTGTAGATCCAATGAAATCTTATGAGAAAGTATTTGAGATGTTTGTAAATCCAACAGTTTTAGCAACAAATATGTCAAAATATATAATGGATTATATTAGAATTGCACACACACTGCAGTTCATGTTTATACATGATTATTTACAACTAATAATCTCGCTGTATATTAATATAAGTGATATTGGTAATCATATCATATATATATATATATATATATATATATATATACACACATACCATACAGCATATATATATATATATATATACACATACATACATATAAAGTCTGAAACTTCAATAACTTGTATATTTGCAAGTAAACAATCAGAAGAACTTTATGCCAAGCCAGGGGCGCCACTAGCAATTTTGGGCCCTATGAAAGAATATGATGTTGGGCCCCCTACCGCACCAAACATACACTATATTGCCCAAAGTATTGGGA